TAAAAGTGAAAGTTAAGAACTTTACAATGTTGTAATGACTTGCTTTGATAAACTCAGCCTCATCTGAAAAAAAATGACAGCATAGGTAGGCACACGGTTTGTCCCCAGAACTATACCTAAAGTTTGTTGGAGGATCTTACCACCAAATTGGACGAAACTATTCTCAGCCAGAATTCGACTATTTTTATTATTTCATCCTCCGTATATTTCGTCTTTCTATTTGAACGTATTTTTCACAAAACATGCCTCAGTATAGTTCACCTTTCTTTGAAATGATATCTCTGAAACAAGAGACCGAAGTCGTTTCCTTTTGATTGGAAGTGTGTAGGGTGGAAAAGTAAAATGTTTGTACAGAAGAATTGTTCCTATAAGAGAGTATTGAAGATTAACCAAAAGTTGTTTGGATTTCTTTAAAGTCAACAGATCATTCTTCAACAAACAATATCACGAGGTTGAACATATGTTTAATAGTACAAAGAGCGGTTGTTTTCTATCGTTATTTGTCAGTCGTCATCACGCAACATTATTAAAAACAATAGCTTTCACAAACATAGCCTGTGGACAAAAAAGTGTTGATACTAATGACTGACATGGTCAAAATGGAATTTCAACTCATCATTTTTGAACAAAATATTGTAATGACATGCTCCAAATTAATAGATATATACATTGTTATTCCAATAACACATTACAAACGATGTGTTGTATATTGGTGAATGGTATCAGAATTGTTCAATTGTTGAGATTAATGCAAATACTTCTCTACCGGAGTTAATATAGCTTAAAGTACTCTATGATGTATCAAATATTCTTATTGTCATAGATCATAGGAAAAACACTGAACGGCTGAATATCACGTAACATATATATCACGAGCAGCCGCGGATAATTCCACGTAATTTTAGTATTTCAATCAATATTTGATACTTTTTATTTTCTTTGTAGCATCAGTAAACAAGTTAATTATTGATCAACGCGCGAGATAACAAAGAAAAAATACGCTGAAGGGCACCACGTGTATTTTCTATCAGCACGTGCTGGATGAGTGTAAATATCTAAAGTTATTAAGTGATAGTCAGTAATTCTACCAAGACCACGTGGTCTGATTTAACATCTATGATGTATATTGATATCAGTAATTGGTGTAGCTGGATGGTAGACCTCCTGGCGAAAGATAACTCTTGCTGGTTGTTTTCAGCCACCAGTTTTCATTTATATGTGTCTGTCACGAAAGGTTCGTGATGATACAAACACACACTTACACTGCAAGCTAACAATTTTGACATTAAACTGTAATAAGATATACGGTCAATTTCCTCGTTATTGCCTAATTATTTGACATGTACCACCTATGGCAGCTTAAATTAAAATTGTTGTACACCAACCTTCTGAAGTTGTCATCACTACGATTACTTTCTGTTAGTCAGTTACTTAAAATTATATGAAACCATTGCCACTGACGGACGTTTGAATTCATGTAACCTGGATATGATACCATGATACCCTACCCATCTCTACTGTTCAAAAATAAGGTTACAAGCGAGGTGTTGCTTTAATGTAAAGCACCACTATATCCTACCCGTTTCCACTGTTCAAAAATATGGTTAAAAGCGAGGTGTTGCTTTAATGTAAAGCACCACTATAGCCTACCAGTTTCCACTGTTCAAACATATGGTTAAAAGCGAGGTGTTGCAAAGCTTTACATTTAAGCAAAATCATTTCGTTACAAAGAAAAGGTAAGAAAAAGTTCTTTTGTCTCCTACCACCATGATATGGGATCAGTAACCATTTTCATTTTTATGAAAAACTATTTTTTTCCAGTCAAATATTCTTCAAGAGCTGATGTCTCCGACGCATATGACAGATAATTAAACGAAGCTTTTGGATCGGTTACCAAGCAAATTGAGTACAACCTCCTGATCGGTCAAAATAAAGATAAATTTTCCGATTTTTGTGATTTTGTTTCGTGAAACACAAATGCTTAGGCAACATAGCTGTTGCGGTGGAGTGATTTTAGTTTTTAAATTGTTTAACGTCCCATAATCAGTTAAATGACATGTTCGTGTAAGCTTCCTTGCGATAGTATAGAACTAAAACCGAGTTTATAGTGCTACCACACTAAAAGACACTGCTGAATGCCCCCAGCAGGACACCCCAATCAGGTCCAAATTTGATATTTTTAATTTTGGTAACCAGTCGTTATTCTTCTATAATGTTGCGCGTTAGATAGGGTATACTCACTACCATTTAAATCTCTGGTATGTCTCTGCCAGGGAACATAACCGAAAGTCCTCCTCAGAAATAGCATTATCAATAGTAGTTTGTTGACTTATCTAAAGTTGTAATTAAAGGGTGATATTCACTTGTGTATTTTGTACAATCTCCCAAAGATTTTCCTGTAGTTTCAAATGCAACAACAGGAACTTACCTAATTCCAGTCTTGATGCTTTTGGCAGAGGATCGGTATATTGAGGATCGTCTCCTGATCCTTGATAACATCTCGGGTGTGAATTTTATGAGTAACCCTCCAAAGGAAAAATAACAGAACACAATCTATATGTCTAAATGGATCAATTGTGTTGACAAAAATCATTTCTTTCCTGGTGTTTTAAATCAATGAAAACGAAAATCGCAATATTATAAATAATCGCAGCTTTAATTTAAAACCGTTTTGATATCAGATAACAAAGCATACGGCTTATTAAAGGCGAAGCGAGACATATCGACCATCTATGCATGAATGTTTTCCAATTCCAATGTACAGTGTTTTGACGGCGCACATTACAGAACATATGTTTCCGGTGGTCTTACAAATACGAGCACAGAGGAGATCTAACTCTTGTGATTGACATTTTCTTATCTGTTATTAGATTAATTTAACGTTTAAAAAGTCAAATTGTGGGCTTTTTTTCAAGTTGCAGAGGTAAATAACCGTCAGCCAACGGGCTTCGTTCGTCAGCCCCAATATCATTAATTGTTCTATCAAAGACAGGCCGTGCGACAATTCGATACAAAAAAAGACACTTTAGGTTTAATTTGCATAATCCATATTCAGAATAATTAAAAAGGAATATTACGTTTTACAGTTACTTTATTCCGTTGTTTTTATCCGTTACTAAAAACATAGGAATAGGTTTGTCTGGCCTTAGTAAAAAACAATCATCCTATCGGTGTGTTCGTGCGGTAGGTATGAGGTAGAACTGTCTTGCCTCATCCAATAATCAAAGTCTGTGATACTTAAATCTCCGTTACCATCACTGCACCTATGTAAGCTGCATCTACATTATTACTACACAATAAAATAATCATTACCATGTACTTGGTTTCTGTAATTGCTTCTGTGTGAGAGGTATACCAATAATGTATAAAAGGCCTGCATTGAGAATAGAGCCAATTACGTTAGCCGATGAAGGTTGATGAATCTCTTGAAGTATCGGACCATGAACGACCATCTTGTAGAAGTAGCCATTTATACCTAATCGAAATATAAGATATAAGGATATTCTGAGGAGAGAGTTTATAAAACGCATAGAAAAGTTACATCTTGTCTCCAAATTCGAAGCTATGTGCTGTAACATCGATCTATTGGGATTGTTCTGAAAATGCATTTGAAATACAAGTAACATGTTTCTCCGAGTAGACAAATGTATATATTTGCCGCATGACCGTTGCTCCTTGAGCATCTCAGGCGAGGAGCTGTCAAATTTAAGAGTTGAACACAAGAGGGCGTTATTAACAAAATGACGTAATACCTTTGCAGATGATCTATGGTAAAATAGATCATTTGTTTCGTTCTTTCTGAAGAGCAATTATCATAGAGGCAGACATATCCTGTGGCAGTGACCATTGTTAGAACAACATTAAAATGTTAACCAAAGACTATATTGAAAGGGGATATATTTAACGTAACTATTTACACCAGATACATCAACATGGAGTTGCAGCTTGGTGATATCGTCCCGCCTAGGCTGAAGATATTTCCAAGTAGAAAGAAGTGTAAAAGCAGCGATAAATATTTAACTACACTCTCAGACGAAACACCGCTCAATTGAAATGTCATCGTAGACATTTCTAGAAAAGCTTTCACTCACCATTACACCGCCATGAGGGAATATACGTATTTATGCTAACACGGGCCGATTTACCTCTTTCATGTATCGATAACGAGGCTGTGTGGTTTATTAGCACGTGTAAATATGGACAAGTACTTTCCCGATAAGACAATATAAATCAACAGGCCAATAAGCCATTTCGCCAGTCCTGGGCCGGGAAGACAGAGTCAATACTCCTAATTACAGTCACGCTAAATAGTCCGCATCGGCGGGTGTATTGAACGTGTGTGCTAAGTAGCTTTACAACTCCATAAGGTACATGGTACAGCTCAGAACAAATAGAGGACGGGTCAATTGTGTCAGATTAGGGGCGTACTTGGTTGTTAACATTTTATTCAAGTTTCATTTATTGTGTACAATTTGGAACTATGTTAGCTTGATCTGGATATGGTCATTATGACGAAATTACAGGTTGTTTGTTTCTACTTCAATTGATATGTAAACAAGGAGCAGTGCAGCAACGTGCCAAGATTTTGATGAAATGTCTTCTACACCGAAAATGTTGAACAAGAAAAAATGTTGTTTCTTCATGTCGTCAATATAGTATAGTATAGAATTGCTGTGTTACTGTGACCAGTTATCAAAGCTGTGTTGTTTCCTTTAAGTGAGTTTGACACTGATATGGTAAGATGTTCTAATGTAATGAAGTGAATGTTGAAACTAAAACAGAAGTCAGCGAGATTTTCATGGCTATTACTAACAATTGTAAATAATCATTTCGCATATGGTTTCGTAATCATAATGATACAATATGAACTATAAATTATTCAACGTTCGAAAGTTTACCCACATTAAACGTGCTTATGGATCCCAACGAAATGCTGGACATATATCTGTGATGTTGTCATTGGGACTTGAGTTTCAAGAGGTTCTTTGAAATTAATCAGAATGGGATCTTTGATTGTTGATCCACGTACCAACAAAACTGTGTTTACATTCTTCTCGGAATTCGGCGAGGAATGGTCAGGTAAGCACCTCTATAAATAACACTTGTACATATATTATGAATGAGAATCATTCTTTCATTTTGTGTTTCAATGACGTGAAAGTAAATGTGGACATAAAGAATGATGTGTTTTCAACACAATTTTTTCATTATCTAATTTTCAACTTTTCTATTCAAAGACATTGCCACTTATTCCTAGAAACATTGGCTGGTATTCATTTAGAGTTTTCCTAAACGAGATTAAGGACCAATATACCTTATATGATATTTATATCAACAAAACCGTCTGAATCTTTAATTAAACGCCATATCCTATGCAGAATACAGTCGAACCTCGTTGTCTCGAAATCGGATGATAAAACTTGGAGATATTCAAGTATGCGATTTAAATACGTTTGAACGTTAAGCGTGAAGTTTAGCCTTGACCGACCAAATGCTTCGAAATATGCAGGGTCTTCGAGTTATAAGAGTTCGGGTTAGCGAGGTTCAACTGTTATTCACTGTATAACAACATAAAGACATAACAGTCTTAACATGAGCAACATGACATTATTTCTACCACGTGAAGTGTAATAAAAAGGTACAGAAATATCGAATTTTCTACAAACTTTTATCTCCTTGTTTCATTCACCATCTGGCTTAGCGCCAATAAATTTCAAATTTACATTTTCAGTAAATATTTTGTTTATGTCTCTCTCGATAAGCTGTCAAATGCTTACATCACGGTTGTTGCGCTGACTTTATAATGAGATTTGCAGTATTACAGTGGCATATTATCATAGATCTACTATAAATCTTATATATACATATGTGTCTAATGCTGTGAAATAACGTTGGCTGTATTATAAAGACGGTATTGAGATGTTTTGTTGTGTGATGGTGGCAACATAACAATGTTTTACTTCACAGTAGAAAACATTGAAATGGCAAGTCTACAGCTTGTTACGGACATTACAGAACACCTCTGAGAGGTGTCTGTAGAAGTAGTGGAATATTTGTACAGTAATATATCAAAGTATTTCTACTATAATCTCACACCATCCGCCTTGTCACGATTTTCCCACAATCAATAGAATTACATAACGAGATCTCGTCTGGAACACGAGTTTGCGGAACCTTTTCGCCATCATTCTGTTTTATATCTCCTGACAAACAGATGCCGATACAGTGCGGACCGATGTAGTATAGTGTTTTATCACATCGTATATTTATAGTCTTATTGTGGTAGACAATGAAACGAAATTTCTACCGATATTTTTCCTTTGAACTTATATCTGCTGTAGAAATTCATAAAAAAATCTTGAGCGCGGATTTTTAGACTTGCTTGAGCTAGCTGAATTCTTCGCTTTGATTATCTCTTCTTCATTTGAAATTTTTGTCAGAACCAGTGATATAAAGGAAATCATAATTACAAAGGCTTATTTGTTGATTAGTAATTAAGATATTATAGAAACCGGAGCCAACTTATTCATTTTTATAACCCTGATAGCAATTGTCTCTTTAATATAAAGAATGCTTAAAGTTTGATATTAACAGTAGAATTATTTTCCTTCCTAAAGTCACATTAAAAATGATCTTATTTTTAGTCTTAAGTTTAATGAAAAAAGACATACTCCAATAAGTGATGTGCTGATATGTACTTTATTCCCTATTGTGTCAAACGTATTTAGATATCAGTGAACTGTAATGGCAACAGAAAATTATTATCATTACAATCTTAACGCCACGTCGACACATAAAAAGTCATTAGGGACCCCAACCGGTGAAAGAACAGTAGAAGATGCTATGGAATACAGAGAACATGTTGCTATCAACTTCTCATATGGCAATACATAACAGTAAGTGAATATGGTACAATTAATTTTATTTTAACATAAAACTTAAATCAACTAATACGTTATCCTCCTGCAACAGGAAACTGCAAATTTACTTCCCAAAATATTTTGTCTCACACTGCAAATCAGTTCGACCATATGGAACGACACGGTTGAGTAATGTCTTTATCACCATCTCCAAGCTTGCACCGTTCCCGACGAAAAATATGGCAATCCGCCACGCTGCTGTTCAGAAATTAATAACTTTTGTATACGGAAAGTATTTGATTTTAAACATTGAACTCGTCATTGCTATAATCAGCTTCATTTCCTGTTCACGTTTTAAAACCACAAAACATTTAGCCTGAAGATGTATAATTTAAACTAAAAGCTTATTGAGTTTCATAAGGAGATATTTCTAGGCTGATTAAGTAATGGAAAGTTACGAAATATTTTTTTCTATTCTTAATATAGCACAAGATCATGTTTCTGGCGACTGGTTTAAACTTATTAGCTTGTGGTCATAAATTAATCAATTATACTTAATTTGACTCTTGTATGAAGAAAATTAAATTTAGCGTCAATCTTCAGATAATTAGAAAACTTTGTGTTTTTCATGATTATTTTTATTTCAAATATTGCAAGGTTTATTGTTGCATGCTTTGCACGTGGAGAGTACGTGTTTTTTTATATCAGAAATACACATTGTGTTCCAGCAAATTGTCAATTAAAGTTGTCGTGTTCAAAGTTGTCGTGTTCACAGTTGTCTTGTTTAAGAAGTTAAATAATGTACTAAAACCACTCGATCTCAAGACGAAATTCAATGGTGTTAGAGATCAAACAAAGGCACTATTTTTACTCCCTTAAGAATACACTTAGCCTTTGAGCCAACCAATTAGTTACATAGCATGCGATTGCATACAAGCCTCCTAGGTTTTAAACTGGGGGCCCTTTGCAACCTTTGCCACGTCCCAGAAGAACGAAACAGTCGTATGATGAAATTAAGTTCATTATTTTGGCTCTACTTTATTTAATTCTAAATATGTGTTTTTAAATGTGCATACGCAAAACATCTTAAATATCATTAAACACGTTGTTATAGCATAAGTTTATATTACATTTTCAAAAGTCTTATTATGAAAACAATATCAGGAATATATTTTTAAAATTGAACAGGGATGAGCGTAAAAGTCTAACAATGAGATACTTAATGAGATTAAGAGATGACATTGAACAAATATTTGATAAAGTGTTTCAGTACGGGAGAACATTGGAAAGACCATCCTCAGCGTGTATAGCATGTGATTAATCATTTACAGTAGTTAGCAGTCTCCCAGAAAACAATTTTATTAGTTAACGTATGTAGACCATTTGTAAAAAGGGTACTGTAAATTCAATGTGGCGTCGACTTTAAATAAAGTCTATCATTATTATCAAATCTTATTGTTGTTGAAGCTGTAGGTACGAGTCGTTTACTTGTCAGATGTCTAATGTTGGAGATTTTCTTTTTCGTCCGATACCCATCCCCATTCATTGATAATGATAATAAGCAAAACAAACGAAATGTGTGTTAGTAAGACGAAATCATTTATATTCCATCCCTGGTTGAAATTGTTCAATTTTTACTAAGCTGTCTTTTAAAAGAACAATTTTTAAAACTTTAAAAAACTAAAAAACAAAACAAAACAAAACAAAAACAAAAACAAAAACCCCAATCAAACAAAATCAAAAAGAGAAAAATATTATGAAAATGTGTGGAAATTGCACTCTATAAACTCTCTATGTTCCAATCGAACGAGTGTTTGTTTCCAATTTTTTCGAGCATTCACAGTTTCATTACAGTTATTTCATTACATAGATACTTCAGATTGTGTTATCTATGGTACATGTTATGTATCTATAAACGTGTATATATATATCTCCATGTGTAATTAAACGAATACAAATACTGGAAATGTGTTTCTTTGGTACGTGTTTTGTATTGATATACATGTATAGAACTTGGTGTGTAAATAAATGAAAAAAAACCCTCCCAATGTGTTACATTGTATCGATATTAGCGTTTTAACACATCTCCATTTGACCGTGACATAGTAAAGAATAAAAATACGTCAAATGGTACGTTTATTGTTAAAGTATCTGATAAGACATAAGACATTTTAGAGAATACAGCCAAATCTAACTACAGCAACAAAAACGACAAACATTACTACTGATGGGATCAGACTTTATGTAGTATTGGCAAGTCTATGTGTAAAGTAGGACGTATGTGTTATTTCGTTTGATCGATACAATCTGACATCAACCTTTGTGTTGTCCATGATCATGCACGCAGCCCGCAAAGGGATTCAGAAACACATTGCTGGCTTTGATTTGAATGCAACAAACATACAGGTGGATATTTTTGTTTCAGATTAGGGATGAATTTAGAAACAATTTGGTCCCTTGTGAACCATCGTAGTGTAAATGTTGCATCATATTTGCAAGAGGATTTACACAAGGACAAAGTATATCAAACTCACTCTCTTGACCATGGCACATCGATTTTTAATCCCCTGGCCGAATGCTAAGAAAAAATAGTTTGCCGTGATCTACAAAAAGTTCATTTTGTGAATGCTTTGTCTACACGTTTTACAGACCTGTACATATTTGTTGTTTCATCTTAGACGCAAATGCTACATACATACATATGTATCACTGGATCTCTTTGTCACTATTCAGTTCACTTTGTAGATAGTGAGATATACATTTTAGTAAATTACACACACACACACCAACAGATATACCATCAACACATACACACCAACAGATATACCATCACCACACACACACACACCAACAGACATACCATCACCAGACACACACACACACACACACACACACACACACACACACACACACACACACACACACACACACACACACACACACACACACACACACACAAATAGACATATAAACTCTTGTTTATTGAATCATTTGAAAATATAGTGAAGATCAGCATTATGGTAAAGTTGTGAATGATTACCGTTATTCGAACAATATAACACTCGTTCTGGCGTGGTGAGAGTCCAGAAGAGTATGTTTGAAATATTGAAATTGCCTCTGGGGCATTTTATAGTGAAAGCGATGCTGCCAATGTGTTCGGTGCTTTAAGTACACACTCAGACGGTCCGAAATTACTTTTGACACCTCCATGAATTCTTT